ATATATATAATTTTTATAATTTTATAACAAATAATGCTAAATATATATCTCATATTTATATAACATTATAACAACATAAATTATTATAATTGCCCGCCAATGGCGGCGTGGTTAAAACCAATGAATGGTGGTAGTTAGTTGATCGCGGGTACGCGCTTGACCAACGGGCTGGTTTCTTCACGTGTCTACACCTAAATGTGGGGGCAGTTTCCCATAAAAAGTCCTTCTGGAAGACATTTCCTCTTGACAGATCGTCCAAGTGTTGCCTTGTCATATTCCATCAAACCAAAACTAAAAATGGAGTTTCTTGATAGTTATCATTTATATAAATATATTTTTAAAATTAATTATTACATTAAATTACATTACATTAAATTATTTCTTTATAGGATTACGAAATCCAAAATTTATTATTATATTATGATGCCAAGAATCAGTGGCCTTCTGTATATAAAAAGAGAAAGGTATGATCTTATCCAACTTCATTAATTTAATTTATATTAATTTTATTAAAATTTATTTATTGATATTTTTTAAATAAATTATTTCTTAATAGAAGAAAATTATAATATTTTTTCTTTAGATTTTCTATTCAAAAATTTACTAATTTCATATTCTTTACAAACTCATACACATCTCATGTGATAAGTTGTCATGGAAACTCATTATACTAAATGTAAATACAGCTGCATACATCCCGTATGAATTTTTCCGATAATTATAATTATAGTTTTATTTATAAAATTAATGTTTTTTGTTTCCAAATTAGTTGTTGTTAATTATATTTACTATTTTAAAATATTTTTATATTATTATTTTCATCTCTTAACATAATCTTGTTATATCCTTGTTTTAATTACAATTATCGATAACTTTTATATCATTTTTAACGAAAAAAATAAATTTTAATGACTTAAAATCATTTTAAAATTTAATTTTGATTAATTTTAACCGGAATGATTTTCGTTGCTCGATTTCTTTTTAATAATAAATAGATTATAATTAATTATTGTGAGTTATTTGAATTTTTTCTAATTTTTTAACATTATAACTTTTATTATAATTTAAAAATAAAATATTTGTGATCGTTTCACTTGACTATTTTGGATTTTTTCTATCGAGTTCCGACAACGCCCTAGAATTTTCAATGTTAAATAGTTTTATTATATTTGCCAGATAAATCGATTGAAAAAAAAATGTTTTAATATGCAATTTCAATAAATTTTAACAGATCAAAACATTTATAAAACAAATTATAATTTTGGGAATTCATATATTGTCGTTTAAAATAATAATTATTATCTTAGAAAATACAAAATATTTATATTTAATTAATATAGGACGATTCAATGCTTTACTGTTACGTTGATTCATGATGTAAATCTGATATTTTTCAACGAATTTTAATGTATTTATCTACGTTAAAATTCTTTTGTTGTATATTTTTCAATAAATTATGTATTTTACAGTAGTAGAGTATATTATTTACAGTGATTTATTTTTGTAGTATCTTCGGATATTTTTCTTGTCACTATCAAGTTTTGGATCATTACGAATTGCATTTTAGAATATTTTTAAAATGTATTTCTTAATTTAGTTTTGATATTTAATACCTGTATAAATTTCTTAAATAGAATAGTATTTTATTATAATTTTAAAATATCGAATATCTTCAAAAGCGAATTTACGCTCAAATTATAAGCAATAAAATTAAACATGGTAATTTTTCAGGATTTATCTTATGCTTTATGTGTTAATACTTCTTATATATATATAGGGCCTATATATATATTTTGTGCAACGTTTCATATAATATCGCAAGTAAATTATACAGTATTTCTTGTTTGTCAATAATCTATTCTTTTAATGCCATTATGTGCTTCGTATCGCGCAATATTTCTTGTTTATCGTTTCATACAGAAGTTATCCAATTTATTTTTCATTTATTAAATCAATAATTTTACTTATTATTATCGCATTTCTAAAGGAGATTAATTACAGAAAAAAGAATTCCAAAAACAAATCACTTTTCTTATTTGAATTCCTTACAACTTCTATTACTTTGTTACAGAAATATACAAAGGAAAGGCTCAGAAATTGATTCAATTTTAGGGAAAAATAATAATTTTTAAAATTTTTTCTTGCTTATGAAAGTTTTCTTCCATAAGTTAATAGTTATATAATGTACATACACAGTCGTCCAAAGATTATTTAATTTTTAATTTATTTAAGACCGGTTTTATCGTTGTTAAAATATATTTCAGTTAACTAATTTTTGGTCTACCTTTTACGTCACAAAGAGTCTTAACGAGATAATAAGGTATCATTTGTCTTAATGTCATCCATTTTGGAATCTTGATCCAAGATGGGATATGCAGTTTTAAATGAGTGAACATAAACCTCAAGTCTATAACCCAAAACACTCTAATCATTAGTATCATCCTGATATGAAGCGATAAACTTTAGTTATGTAATATACTTATGTAAGAAATATAATAATTTACATAAAATAAAATCGATTAAAAATTTTCGAATAAATAGACGTACGCGTTTTAAAATGTCATTTTATATGTACATAAAATTATTAATACAGTAGAACCTCGATTATCCGCCCCCCGATCAACCGACCCCTCGGTTAACCAACCGTCCTAGTCGGCAAATTTCAAATGTCCGCTAGTGATGTGGCGCTACAATAGCGACGATTATTATTTTAAAAAAATTTTTGTTAGGCTTAACATCGATGAAAATTCAACGCAAAATAGGTTAATAGCGATATATTAATATACTAATTACATGGGATATAATAATATACTACACTAATAATGGATTTTTTCATACTTTTCGGTTATCCGACTTTTCAATTATCCGACCAACCCCTGTCCCCAATTAGGGCGGATAATCGAGGTTCTACTGTAATTGTTTTGTCTTAAGAATTAAAAGATTCTGAACAGAACTTGATAAAGAGAAATACGTTAAGTATTGAGGATCAACGTCCCTCTAAATATTTTAAATAGAATTTATCAGAAATTGTTGTATAATTTTAGATAAGTTTAAAAAATGCGTAAAAATCAAATTTTATACAATCACGAAATCTTTTGAGTGATGCGTGTGCAAATCACGAGCGTGTATGCAACGTGATGCGATTGAGTAAAACAATGTAAACAACTTAATTATACAGAATTCCTATTTTGTTGAATCAAAAGTTTCCTTCTGTTATTATCTACTATATATTATATGACAGATAATACATATAAATAATTTTAAATATATTGTTACTGTTATATAAATTAATGAAAATATTTAAAACAATGGGGTCCCATTGAGTCAACCTCGAAATTCATTTTACGAGTGAATAAAACATCGTTTATCATTTCTCACCACGGTTTGATATTTAGTCTCGATTTATTTATTAACAGCCCTAACGTTTTTGAGGATTTCACGTAGTACAAATAACTCATTCATCAAATGTTCTCAAACGATTTTGCGCCACAGGACACCCTTAACACGCTCGTCTTACTACACGAATCATTCGAGATTAAACATTTTGTTCTCACTGGGGCGTCCCTCGATGAGGTCTCATTGAGTCAGACTCGCCCGTGATGGACATAATTATGATCAACCAGTATGGTCTATAGCAGCGTTTCTCAACCGGAGCCGTGTGGCCTCCTTCAAGCCACAGAACAGAACATTTTAAGAGAGCCATCAAGCCAAAAATCAACTTTTGGGGAGCAAGAGCAAACTCTGGGGGGCCACATTCAGAATAAAGTATTAAAATTATATGAAAACGATATGAAACTTCAATACGTAAATTATTAGAAAAATTTTAAACATATAAAAATATTGTGTTTAAATAAAATGCAAAAGTAAATTTTATAAAATTTTGAACCTAAATTGTTTCATTTGTTATCAGCAATATACGGACGATGGGCCTACATTTGTTTCTCCTAAACAAAGACGTCGAATCTTGCATGTGTATGCAAAGCATGTTACTTTTGTTATTTATTTATTTATTTTTAATGATGTTTACTATTAAAATATAGGCTTATTGCGTGTAGATATAGAGTGCGCCTATACCGTCAAACTTCAATTTAGCGCCAATATCAGAGGTGTACAAATCATCCTGAAATTGGCGTAAAATCGTGTGTGGAGCAAAAAATCTATCAAATGAGCTATTATTATGGGTGCAACAGAAAAATGTTAAGCTCAAAAGTGGTCAGAGATAAAAACAAAAATACTGATTTACAATTTGCTGGCACTTCGTATCAATTAATCAATTTTAAAATATATTGAAAATATAGCATCTAATATATTTAAACAAATCGTTGAATATCCTATTTTAAACTTTTTTCTAGTCGTGTAAAGAAAAAGAATCCGTCCTGTCTATAAATAATAGACAAATTATCAATTTAACAAAAAGTCACCCACATTCTGGTTGTGTACTACATAAGGATAAAGGTGTATACAGATGTGTTCACAACAGAACCTTCCTTTCTGCTCGAGAAAGATGGTGGTTCATCGCTTTAAGCAACTGTGGAAGCCACAAGGTAACATCTATAAATGTGTATAACATATCCAAGTAAACTATTTTAATCCTTAATTCATAGAAAATTAAATATTTACAGGGTCTGAAATTAAATTACTCAATAACTATGATTAATAATGAAAATAATATATGGTTCAAGCATTTTTCTGCTGATGAGTTCTGTAAGAAATTTATAAAAAGGTTAAACCTATTTAATCATTTATCAATATTATAATAATANGATTTAGATTGTGTTGTGCAACCGCCAATCACCCAGGACGCCGCAGCTTAACAACGAACATCTGTATCGTCCAGTGATCCTTCTCGTCCGCCCCGGCTGCGACCGATCACCCGAACTTTCGCCGTTCACAGGAGCACCGAGATTTGGAATTGTCCAATATCGATGTAAGCATGAATTCGAACAAAGAAACGGGTTTTTTTTTGTAAAACACTTGTACTTCATTTGCCTCCATCGCCACCGCCCACATACGCGGTTTCCCTTAGGCTCATTCTGACGCGAGATAGACTTTATTCCCCCTTAACGTCGGCAAACTTACACTGGCGTCAGAAGTCGGATTTTAGGCCCAATCTACACCAGAGTTAACCTTACATTAACAATAGGCTAATAAAAATTTTTTCGTCCGATGGTTCTTTTTATTTTTAGTATTTGAAGACAAAATTAAGTTGTTACTGCTCAAGTAAGCAGTTTTTGAAATTTGTTAAATATTAAAACTAACCGGAAATTGCGATTAAAATTGCGTTTTTGAATGTAATTAACTAAATAACAGTAGACTAGTAAAATTGAAAAATAAAAACTTGCATTTCGGAAAAATCTTTCGGAAAAATTGCAATTTCCGACAGGAGTCCTCAACCCATAAGTACCTTTTTCTAAATTTTTCTAAATTTTTAGACATTTTTTCTAAATTTCTAAAAAAATGTTTAAAATGTGGAGTTTAGAGGAAGTTTCTGTAGTTACTATAAATATACACCGAATTCTAGTCTGTAATAAGAATTAAAGATGAATTTCTATTTTTTATTTTAGGTAAATTATTAGAAGCTATAAGCACTCTTATATTCCTACTCTTACTCATTCTAATTGGGAAAGGATATACTGTAACTAGAGGACGTCTACGATCCATTACAGCTGCAAAAATAGCAGTTTTTATGACTATATATGTCGTTGTATATGCTGCACTTTATCTTTACGAACAGAAAGTAGGTCTCTTCTTTATTTTTATAATCGAAATAATGATTAATCATCATCGATTATGTTATCATCTACTATACAATTAATAATCATTCCATTTATAACCGATAGTTATCAATGAAAGCCATAAATCAATCTTTTCTATCATTCTGTCAGTTTTATATTTAACAAAAATATCCTATTTTTTACATCAAAATGCGCGTTAAAATAACATTTTCATCGTTATAATAATAATAGTGACTATTCACTAAATCTTAATTGCTCCATTGATTCTGAAGATGAATATTCACATAAGTGTGTTTTATATCACATAATAATAAAATACAGTATATATAGATTTTAAATTAATATTAAAAGTCTTCTGTATCAGATGATGTTAACAGAATGTTAATAAAAAACTAATAAATTCATATAAAATTACATCTAATTTAAATATTACTTAAAACTAATTTAAACGTGGGTTTACCAAAATTACATTTACATTTTATCACCTTTAATTTAATTTTAATTAAGTTTAATATCATAACATCACATAATGATAGTGATATTCTCAGTAATTGGGTAGCTTTGTATCATTACGATCCATTCAGATAAAATCTTTTTTTTTTCAACTTAAAAATTGCAGATTGATTCTTTTTATCTGTTGATAAGTTTAATTTTGTCATGAATCAAGTTAAAAATAATAACGTGGAAATGATAGCTTCTCTGCTGAACAAGAATGTCTGAAGTGAAAACACCTTTACAACATACAATCTGTGCGAGTGCGAGTATCACTGTCTACTGACGATATCATTTTGATCATGATAACGAATGCTTTAAACATTATATTTATCATCATCACAAGTTAATTTATTAGTAATTGTTGCACTTCATGATTTTTAATTGTTTTTTACGAAATTTACAGATTTTTTGCATTCTAATAAATTGTTCTCCACCCTGTTAGATATATTTCTATTTAAGAACGAGATATGAATAAAAGTTTCCAATAAATCTGGAAAAATTATATGTATTCGTAAAGTCACACCCATCTTTATCTGGACACACCTAATTCAGTAATTTATTGTATATTTTCATATTCAAAAGTTAGCACCTATAGTTAATTTTTATTGACTTGAAAGACAAATTTAGAAGGAAATGAAGAGGTTAATAATAATTTAATTATGATTTAGTAAATATTGGTAGGAATTAAAACTATATTTTTCATAAAACGTAAAAAAAAGTTTTATAATCAAAACTGGAATGATTAACTATTATTATAAAATATTATATAATTTAAAAATTATTTAAACTTCTGAAGATTTTTAAATAATTAACTTGTTAAAAATTTCAGTTTTTTGACCCTGGTGAAGTACTTTATTTGTACGAAAGTCCAGCAGGATATGGCCTTATAGCATTGCGATTATTAGGATGGGCTTGGTTTGTCTATGCAATAATATTTACATTGATTCATTATCCAGAAAAATCTGCATTTTATACAAGACTCTTCTTAATATATACTTTATGGTAAATATTAGGTTTTATATAATAACATTAAAAATACATACAAAAGTCTTTGATATATATTTTCCATATATTTTAAGGTTCTTATCAGGACCAGTAGTTATTTTAATATCAACATTTGTTGTTCCCAAATGGATGAGAGAATCTGTCATTAATGGTGTGGAATTGTCTTTATCTCTCTTGGCACATTTATTTTTTTTCGTAAGTACAATATCATTACTTATATATATATTTTTCACTCTATATTCTTTTACTTAATTTTTTTCATTCTCCCAAAAATAAAATTGTAAGTGAAAGGTGAAAACATGTCTCATACTAAATTATTATTAATAAATTTTTAAGAAATATCAATCAACTTCCCTTTTGAAAGATCAATGCCCTAAAACTAATTTATAAAGTATAACAAAGCATAAATAATGGATAATAAGAATGTATAACTACAATTATAAAATATAAATTTCAATATTTTGTAAGGAAAACTCATATTAATAGATAAGAAAGTACATTCACTGAATATTGATTTATATTGGAAATGCATGATTATAATTTTTATAACTTCAAAGATGTCAAAGATGAAAATTTATTTTAAAGATTATTAATAGAGTATAAGACAAATATGATTAATACTTTAAGTTTCAAGCCTAAAGTATTGATTTAAGAAAAAACTGTTTATGAATTATTTATCTTGAAGATCTGTAGTCATATATGCAGCTGAAACTTGGAAAGTAATTCAAGGAGAAAAATTAATCATATAACTTTTGAAAATAAGATCCTCAGAAAATTATATGGTTCTACTTACAATACACATAATGCTTAATATAAAGAAAAACAAAAACTATATGACGTTTTTGGAACTTCTTTGATCATTGGTAATGCAAAGTTAACCTAATGGCAGATCATATTTTCTACATCAGTGTTTTTCAACCTTCTTGAATACGCAACCCCTTTACAAGTTAAAAAATTCTGGCAACCCCCTAGGGTCATATTAAAACTATATCAGTGATTTTAAAAACTATGTATTTAATTTTCTTTCTGTTGAGAGCTAAATATCGATCGAAAAATCAATTGCACTGTAAATTTACAGTACAATTGGTTGTGCCTGTTTATTACAGTACATGGCTGTTTACAATTACAGTACAAGGCTGTGCCTGTTTATTTTACTGTGTAAAATAAACAGGCACAGCCTTCTCACTGTAATTGTAGTTTTTTTTTATTGTAGTGTAGGACCTACAAACACTTGTCTTTTTCTTTTACCCGCGACCCCGTGTAAGGCTTTGCGACCCCCAGGGGGGATCGTGACCCACAGGTTGAAAAACACTGTTCTACATAAATGATAGAATTCTTTTGTCAGTCTTTCAGGTCTGATAAACATCCCAAGATTCAGAGATAAATCAAAGAAAAGATGGAAATAAGACAAAGGATGTTTGAGATGTCACTGTACACTGTTCCTTGATTCTGTCTTCCAGGAATTGTCAGACAGAATCAAGGAACAGTGTACTGTACAATGGAGAGGTGAAGGCAGCAACAGCCTACAATGCTTGTAAAAGCCAACTAATGATATATCCAGAATATTTTTTCAAATAATCAAAGAATAGTTTATTAAACAGTTAAAAAAAACTTTCATTTGTTAATATGTTATTTGTTAACTTTTGTAGTACTATTTTGATATTATAATTGCTCAAACTCTTCTCATTTTAAAATTTGTTAGCAAATTGTTTACATAATGAACAAAATTTCATTTTAATTTAATTAGATGATTCAGTAAAATACAAAATTCAAAATATTATGAGATGATTCAATTACACAGCAATAAATTTTAAAATTATATCTTTTTTATAGAAAAAATATTTTAAATATTTAAGCTTTTAAAATATAATTTTATAATAATTTCTGAAAATACTTTTATTCCTCAGATATTAACAAGACCTTCTGCTGCAAATAAGAATTTTCCTTTTCATGTTAGGACAACTCAGGTTGGCAATTTATCCATTCCTTCTTTACTTAATAAGAAGTTATTTTAGATATAATAAATTATTATATATCATTTATATATACTGTATATGTGTATCATAGATTGGCATTGATAATACTCCTCCTGGGGGGAATAATATTGATGGATTTAATCGTCATCCGTATGCAGTATCCGCCCAATATAATCACACCCCCGACTATTTGATTCTATTTGGAGTTCAAAACACAATGAATAGGCCACAAAGGGTAAAAATTTTATATATTGTTCATTCATACTAATATATAGAGAAGTGTTTCTCAACTGGTAAATCATAATCCTCAAAAGATAAAGCATTATATTCATGGTCACAAACTTATAAGCAAAAAATGTTGAGAAATACTAAATAATTTTTACAATATCGTTTACATTCTTAATTAAAGTACATCTTTAATATTCATTTGCACATTTTTAATTTAGATATATACTGAACCTTCATTTCTAAATCAAAAATCTCCAAGAACAGCTGCCATCATGGAACCAACAGAAGGTACGCCACCTCATAGTGTGAGAGATGTTTAATATTTGCTATTAAAAATCTTACCAGGAGATTTACAGTGATAAATAACAAAATAATCTATTTATACTCCATGGAAAATAAAGAAAACAATGAATTGATGTTCAAGATAAAAGACTGTGATTATGATCCAAACAGTGTTGTACCTATTAGAAGCATTTAAGAGAGTTCCCAAAATGTAAAAGATACATTAATCATTAGTATGAAAAATGAAAAGTATGTACACTCATTTAAAGAAGTCCATCCATTGAAGCATCCATCCCACTCTAACGTTAACAGACAATCCATCCATTTTCTCCATTTTTCTTATTTCTACATCAATATATTTTCAAACAAATGCATCAAAAACAAAGATATTTTGTAATGAAATTAATCATTATCTCGAAATAATTATTATAAAATTTAGTATTGCTCTAAATAAAACAATTAAGAAAAATTGACAATTTCAAATATTTGAAAGCTATATTCTTGAGAATTTCATAATTCAAGCAAAACGACCTTTGCACCTTAAATCTAAATTAATCACAAATTTACAGTGTGTGTAGTTATTTTTTTTTAATCATAATAATGTTTGATTGGTGATTGATAATAATTTATGTATATAATAAATGAAATCTTTGAAATATAATAAATTTTTTCTTATATATGATGTGAAATATTTGAGTGATTATGTATAATTAAGTAAGTTGTTAATAATGAATAATTTTGGTACTGGATGATTGTTGATAAACATTACTTGATCACATACAACAACATTGTAAAGAATTTTAGTTATTGTTTTAAAACATTTACAGACAACTCTCTCTGAAAAATGTATTATTCTGATTTATTGGAGCACACAAGCTAAAAACTATTGCTTCAGCAACCAAACCCACTGCCATCAAGAAAAAATTCTGATAGAAAATCCCATATAATTATTTAAAGCTCTACACAATCATCATTAAACTGAAATATAATTTAATACTATTGATTTTTGACAAGTCCACTATCTTATTCACTGAAGTGTAACTCATTAAGATTCCAAAAAGATGGTATTGTTCAAACATATCATAAAAAATGTGATCATCACATTTTTTATGATTGATATTGAAGTTTTGCCCAACATACTAGAGAAACTGTAGTTACTTTTTTAACTTGTGTGCTCCAATCAAGTAGAATAATAAGTTTTAACAGAGCATTTATAGAATTAAATTTTGGAATTTCAGTAAGCATTTCCTTTTAGAATGGGAAGAGAGAAATAAAAAAAAAACATTGCCTGTTTTCTAGGCAACACAATAACTAGCAATTACTTTATCTCTACAGATAAAATATTTTATATAACAAAAAATTTGATCAATTTGGCCACATCCATGATTTACACAAACTATTCATTCATCAGAAGTTCCCTCTATAAATAAGGTTTTATATAGTTTTGTTATTTAGAAAATTTAAATCAATTCTCTTTGTTATTTGTCTAATGTTATAATAAATCTTTGTTTCTTTTTAAACTTACAAACTTATAATTTGTGTTTAATATGATAATTATGAAATAAATTTTATAAAACTAAATATGACATGATGACATACATATTCATCTTAATTATAATTATAATGCCAACTCTCCCACTTTATCAGGAATTGGGAATGTCTAGGAGTCACTGAGCACTAGATGAGAGTAAACAATAACAGCCAACATTCCATGAAATCTCTGACTGAAATTCTATTTGGGCACCATCTTGCCCAAGTTTAATTATCTGTTACAAACTGGTGCATTTGGAAATGGATAATCAATGTCAGATTAAGAAAATTGTTCATTTATTAATTTGAGTTCTAGACAAAACTTGAAATCCAGGCAACGAAAAAAGAGAGTCAATAGTTTTATTTATTATATTTTCCATGAGACTCTTAGAGAAGTTTCAATTGTTATTATGCTCACATTGTTCATTTATTAATTTATATACTTAAAATTTTATTTATTTACAAGCTGTAAAAATATGCAATGTCCCTTAATAAATGGATAAGATATAGCTTCATACAGACTAGAAAATCCAGCAAAAAATAAAATTGCTTTATTTTGGCTGGATTTTATGATATGTAAGAAACTACAGCTGTCAAAAATGATGAGGGGAAATAAAACTCCTCAATCATTTTATAAAATCAGTAAATTTTTACAAAAACTTAATGACAAGTCCATCAAACCATCAAAAATAACAGAGGAAATAAAAATTAATCTTTAATTAAAACTGAGCATCATTGACCAAACTGAAATCAAGAAAAATGGTTAATGCATTTTTCTTAAAGATAGCAACATCAAATAATTTGTCCTACTTTTCCAAATCCAAAACAAACTTTTAAGATTTTGTGGCCACAACAAAATATACCCAATTTTGTCAATCTTCAAATTTGAATGTACATCATCCAGAAAAATCAATATATTTAACAAGTGATAGAAAATATTGTCCACCACAATAACATTATTGGTGAATTTTGTCAGTGGTGTATTCAAGGTGTAAGTAATTTAAAATACAGAAATAATTTATATTTAAGAAAACCAATTAATCTGATGCTTTGCCCATCTTAAAAGTAACTAAAATATACTGCAAAATACAATGTTAAGATTTATCAAACAATAAGAAACAGTCATTTTTGCTAACCATTAAGTTTTTGCAAAAAAAAAAAAAAATACCAATTTTATCTTATGACAATGATAAAACTAAAAATAATGTGATTAATAGATCGTTCTAAGAAAATCTGAATTCAAATGCACAGTCTACTAATAGAAAGCATTTATAATTCTAATTATTTCCTTCCTATTTCTAGCATTAGTTTATTATAAACTTCTTTTTACAATGAAACACTAATTTTAATATAACTATTGATAGTTACATGAAAGTCATTTATTAAACTTAAAATGATGACTATTCTGTTTCACTATCAAAAAACAATTTGTTCATTCAATGTGTATTTAACATTGAATGAACAAATTTGAAAAATTTCTATGAATTTATTTTACTGAAAGGGTTCATGAAAGGCCCTTTCAGAGATTAAGACTATGTAGACCATGGTTGTCAAACCTTTTTTCCTAATAGTCCAAATTAGAAATTTACATATATTCAGTGAGTCACAAAGTTACTTTATATAAATATATGATTCCAAAAAGTTCAAATTGTGAATATCAAATATATATAATTAGATAAAATACTGTATTACTGACAGCAAACAAATTATACTCACACAAAATAAAAATAAATTCAATGCAATTTTTGACATTGCCTTCCTTTTCATAATATTGTCAATATCTGCATTTATGGTACTAGTCATAATTCTAGAATGTTAGTTAAATGGGAATCATCAACTTATTTCTTTCAGCAGCTTTGATGTTTTCCATGCACAAAAAGAATTGTTCAGACAAGAATATTTTGCATGTGGGGTAGTACAGTTTTCTAGCATCAATTACATCCTTACATCAGTATCCATTGAAAGTGTATCCAGTGAAACTAGAATAATTTTTACACCATTCATTACCAAAATAAATGAAAATGCACCTAAAAATTTTAGGATAAAGTGGGCTGCAATGCAGCCTGTGGGCTGGACATCCCTGATGTAGGCCTTAGACGTGCACAGATTATTTAGATGGCTTAGACACTGATGATGGCAACTGATAGGAACCAGCAGACATCATCAGCTTATCTGCTCAGTATCCAGCATTGTATGGCACCTCTACTGATCATGTCATATAAAAATGTTTAAAAATTTTTAATGGATTCATTTCTTATTCTGTTATTAAAAGCAAAGAAAAAAAAAATTTTAAATTTATTTTATAAAATTTATAACAGCATATATATATATAT